CACACACAGTTCCTTGTCTAGCTCAGGAGCTCTGTGGAGAAGAAGAGAGCCATCAGACCTGACGTGGAAAAGCACGGTGGGGAACACTGATGCAATTTGTTACACAGGGATGCTGTGCATGTCCTGTGCTCAGTGTATGGTTAGACTTGGGGGACAAACTGGGTTATCTTAGACATCACCTTTGTAAAGAAAGGACAAGTTTGGAGGAAGGCCACGTGACCTGCTTGCTAGCAGAGCCATTACCGGGTCAGAAAACAGAAGGGATCTGACCCCCTGGATTGCCACTTACAGGCCAAGCCCTGTACAGTTGGGTCAGCTCTTCCTCACAAGCAGGGAACAGCCAGCACCCAGACTGGCCACCCAGCCGTCCCCCAGTGGGTGACCCGCCTCACTCTTCCATTCTCTCCATGCCTGTCCCTCTGCTGCCATCAAGCCTTCTTTACTGTCACCCCTTCTGTCTCTAAAACACTGGTACCATCCACCACATGGAAAGAGTGGACAGACAGCAGCAACCCCTGTACCCCACAGCTGCAAGTGTCCAGGCCAAAGGAAACTGTCAAGGCCAGGACCAAAGGTATGGGCCCGAAGCTGAGCTTCCCGATTGTCCTACTTGCACCCCTGATGCATGTCTCCGGGGACTGGTCTCATTTTATGATGAATATATTTATGTGTGTCTTACATTCTTGCCAGCGTGCACTTGCAAAGTCCCAGGCACAAATACATGCTCACTGAATGTGTGCTGACTAACAGATTAATGAATGAACTCATCAGCAATCATACCTCAAAGCACGTCCGTGGCTATCTTTAAATTGACACCTAATGGAATTTTGTTCATTTTAAAATTGATTATTGTAGGGTTTAGTTTATTTTGAAATTGCTTAAGCCTTAAATCTTTCCCTCATCTTCTCGTTCAAGTTTTTACACTTGTATCTAGAATACACCCTCAATAGGATTCATATGTTCACTCTTAATTTAATTCATTCTACTAAATTGGAAGATGAGATGCAAAAATATTATTAGTAAAATTGTTGTTATTTGGAAGCAAACTGCAAAATATTTATGCAAATTTTTATGTATACCACTACCCCACCCCCAAGACAAGAAGTGTAAGCTCACTCTTCAAGACTGTAAGATTTGGTAATAAAGCATTAAGCAGAAATGTAAACTGTGATGCTCAACTACAGATCACCTTACAACAGGGATCAGCACGCCTTTCTGTAAGGAACCACATCATAAATACTTCAAAGACCATATCGCACATTGTCACCATCTCGAGGTCTTCTTTGTGTGAATGCATACACATGTATGCCCTTCACCACCTTTAAAAAATATAAAGTCATGCATAGCTGTGTGCTCTTGAAAGGAAGAAAGAAAGGAAGGAAAGGTAGAAAGAAAGAAGGAAAGGAAGAGGAAGGAAGGAAGGAAGGAAGGAAGGAAGGAAGGAAGGAAGGAAGGAAGGAAGGAAAGACTATCACTGACCAGTACTGTACTGTACTGTACCCACCAGATATGGTTTGCCACTCCCCATTCTACAATAGTTGTTTGTATTCCACTAATTATTTTATCTTAATCCACCTTTATCCAGTCAATTGTTGGATAAGTATTAAATAAATAAATAACCAATTCGTGAATGTAACACATGTACATCAAATAAGGTGAATTCAATTATATTTTTAGAAATAGTTAACATACAATTTTCTATATTTATCCTCTTTTAATGTTTTTAGAAGGTAAAATCAACATGAATTGATCAGTCATCATGAGCCAGGGAAGAAGAGGCAGTCTCAAATAACCTCAAATAGAAGGAAATTGGTGAAGAGATAAATAATATTTCTGAAATGTAGAAATATTTCAAACTCATCATAGGACATCTACATTTCCCCTTGCAAATGATCCTCAGTTACCTCAAATGGTATTGACATTGGGAACAAGGGAAGAAGATCCACAGGAATGTATATGAGGTCTGTTATGGTTTAGATATGAGGTGTCCCCCAAAGGCTCAGGTGTAGGACAGTGCAGGAACCTTCTAAGGTGAAATGGTTAGATTATGAGGTCTGTAACCTAATCTGTGGACTAACCATCTGACAGGGAAGAACCGGGTGGTAACTGTGGACAGGCAAGGTGTGGCTGGAGGAGACAGGTCTCTAGGGGTGTGCCTTCACAGTACATATTTTGTTCCTAATGACGGAGTTTTCTCTCTCTGTTTTTTGATACAATGACCTGAGCCACTTTCTTCCTTCAAAATCTTCCACCATGATATTCTGCCTCACCTCGGGAGGAGGTGAAGTCACCTGAAATCTCTGAAACCATTTTCCTTCTCTTAAAAATTGTTCTTGTCAAGCCTTTTGGTCACAATGAAAAATGGCCAGCTAAAACAAGGTTCTAGGACACACAGGTGGAACTCTGCAGTAGACAGATTCTTACTACAGTGTTCAGACAGAAGAGCAGTGCAACAGGATATCATATGGGTGGCAAGTGACCTACAGAAAATGTGCAAGAGGGGAAGGAACAGAATTAACAGGCATCGGGACAGTCTTGGCAGAACAGGTGGTGCTCTGTTCTTGGTCTGACCAGGTGTCACCTGAACTTCAGGAAGATAGCCATGGGGTCAACAGCTTGCTCTCCACCATGAAGAGCCCCTCAACTGGTCCTTATGCCCCCAACACGTGTTCTAAAAGAGCTGGTGGGTAAGGGAAAGATAGGGTAGGCACAAAATAACTCAACACTGTTTATTAAATCCCTTCCTGTTTAAGAAAGCTGAATGAAATGACAACAGCCATAATCTGTGAGCTCCTGTTTCAAAAAAAAAAAATCAGCCTGTCTAGATGGAAAGTCACGGGTTAAAGGAATTATTGGGTTTTGTGGTCTGCACTCTTGCCATCTATCTATAATATGTAAGCACACACTCTGCAGACCAAACTTCCATTGAATGAGGACACTTCCATTTCTTCCACTGGGCCCGGGAGAACTGATTTAGCTCCTTTTGCTTCATTTGCAACTCTGTAAAATAGGTAATCTTCATTTAAAGTCTTTACACAGGGTTACTTTCTCACACATGTGAGTGCTCCTTATTAGCACTTACCTTTAATGACGATTGTTAACTTTGGTGATATCTTCCAGGATCATGTGATAACTCTGGGAACTTGCTATGCACAGTGCATAACTAGAGAATGGGAGGTATATTTTAAAGAAACAAGTGTATAGTAGAGATTTAAGTGAATTTTTATACAATTACAAAACTCATGTTTTCTTGACTGACAATGTACATCATTCTGTCCTAAAAGAAAGTTTTAGGGGCTGGGGATGTGGCTCAAGCGGTAGCGCGCTCGCCTGGCATGCGTGCGGCCCGGGTTCGATCCTCAGCACCACATACAAACAAAGATGTTGTGTCTGCCAAAAAAACTAAAAAATAAATATTAAAAAAATTCTCTCTCTCTCTCTCTCTCTTAAAAAAAAGGGAAAGTTTTAGGCTAAGATTGAATGAAAATATAAGAGGTGATTAGATTCATCATAGTCATCTTTGGCTAAAGCCGACAATTTCAGAATTAAAATTTGAATCTCTCTTTGCTCTCTAGTTTGGTCCAGATACTGCATAATTCTGTGGACTGGCTTTTCCCTACCTTTCAAACTACAAAATGGAATGTTGGCACGCAAAGGTCACCTCGGCCAGCCAGTTTTTCACAAAACATGGCGCAGTGACATTTGAATCCAACCTTATGTCCACTGAACTACTCACCAGACTTAGTTTGACAGATCTGAGTATGATGGATGCTGATTTCCATCCAAAAGGTTTGGCCAGGCCTCAGCAGTAATAGAACCTTTCTTAAAGGTTATTTTTAACCACTTGCTAAAAATTCCTAGAGGAAAAAAAAAGTGACGTGCCCTTTAGTAAAATGAATACAATAATATACGTACAATTGATACCACTGCAGTTGGGTCTAGTCAATTGCCCAAATGAGAACTCACTTTTTGGTAACCAGGGGCTGTCCAGTTGTGGCCCAGTTCCTTGAGTGGGAGTGTAAAGAGTGTACAGAAACTGAGCCTACCTCTAAAACTGAAACAAAGAGAAAGGGGAGAAGGAGAAAAAAAATCTCTGAGGTAGTTATGCAAGCCCTCCATTATATTGTCAATTAACTCTGATATTGTTTTTGTAAGTCAAACTAAATTTAATGCAGTAGATTTATTCATCAGGAGTCCCATTGACTCCATGAAGGTTAATCTAATGGTTAAACAATGTTTGACTTTATTTTCAAAAGATTTTTATACAATCCCATCTCTGAGAGATAAAGTGGAATTAAGAAGCATTGCAATCAGCACATTGACTGGACCAACAAAATTAGCAGCACTCCATTTGAGATAATAACCCCAAATTATTCCCCAAATAAGGCTCCATGTACATTTAAAATTTGTTGGTGACTAGTTAAGGAAAAAGGTTGTACAAATATAATTAATCTTCCGGCTCATGAAATTTTGGTAGTGCGGATTTCATTCTGACAGCATCAAAGCTGTGCCATTTTTAATTCACAACTGGAAAAAATGTATTATTCCAGGGTTGCCCAGTCATTAAGGTAATAGGAGTAATCAGCCGCGCCATGCTGGCTCCACAAGGTTGGGACTATGTGTTTCTAGGTTTCAGTGATTGGGAGGCCCCAATCAAAGCCTTCTCCAGGAGTTCTGTCCCCTCAGAGCGTGCAATAACTGTCCTGGAAGATTCCGGTTCTTCTGGGTACAACCAGAAATAGAAGATACGGCCCTGTTAGGCCATAAACAGACAAAGAGGAGTATAAATGTTGTGAAGAAAGAGCCACTAAGTGCTGTCATCCTCCTCTGAGATCAAGGTAGTAGCTTGTCTCAAAGTCAGTTTTTTCAATACTTCTACTAAAAAAGCAAACCTCTCTAATTTCCTCATTTTTTTGTAAAACACCCCATATAATTTATCAATTATTAAAAATAATAGGAGAATATTTCTTTAAGACAAATTAGGGTAAAAAGCTCCAAAATGCCCATGTTATGAAATAATCTTTATTTAAAAAAAAAAAAAACTTCAAAAAATTGGTACAATGTAAAACAGGATATATGAGAACACAATTAGTATTACATTTTATTTTCAAAACTAGTGCTCCCAGTTTTGCTGACTAGACACTGTGGGATAGATAGAGAGATAGAGAGAGAGAGAGAGAGAGGCCCTTATTAGAGGTTTACAAGTCAGTTTTCCCTCTCCCTCTTTAGATGTACAGATGTAGAGCTTTAGAGAAGTAAACAATCAGGGTAGGATGTCTGACATATTTCAATACATGATGATGCAAAATAAGTAAACTTCCTTCCCCTTTATAGATTTGTTTTAATCACAGAGCTTAATTTACTTGTCCTCACTAAATTAAACTCTACAACGTGACCTGCCACAGTCTGGCTGGGCACAAAATCATGAGCCACTCAAGCAGGAACAAACTTTATTTTTGAAACTGCCGCCAATGCCCTGTACACTCCCCGGATGATTGCCAACCGACCCACTCAGCATTCTCCCAGACCCCAACAGGAATTCCCTCCTACCGCACTTCCCCAACCAATGGCAACTCTCCAGGAGTCCCGTAGCAGGCGGGGTGAACAGCAGGAGTCCAATACCCATATGAATGCAGATCTTAACATAATCATATCATCTCAATGGCTTGCTGGCATCACCTTTCAACCAAAAATGCCATGCATCATATTACTTGGCTGTGGCTCTTAGCAGTGACCCTCTGGTGTCTCCCCACTCGGCACATACATGGAGCTCTGAGGCATCCTTATGAGGTCGGGGCTCATGGTGATGCACAGCACCACCAGGGAGCACAAATGCCTGTGGCTGCAAATTGTTAACCGTGAACATGCAGGTCCTGAGTCTACCAGCTCTGAGAGCCAGAATAGCCACCTGCCCCAGATACTAAACAGAGTGGAGCAAAAAAAAAAATCTTCCAAAAGGTAAATTTAAGTAAATATTATATTCAAAACATTTTGGGCATCATTTTATAGATTTTGGTGTAGTATCAAATTTCATATTTTGTACATTTAAATTTCACCACTTAGCATTCAGTGATATAGAATGCATGACAGGTGGGGATGGAAGAAGAGATGGAGGACAGATGGGTGTATGGTCAGGGCAGGCTATTAGAAAACCATATCAAGTAAAAATGTTCCAGGTCCTTCTACTAAAAAATGAGACCTGAAATACCAGGAGAAAGATGAAGGTAGAATGTCCTTTCCAAGCAATGATCTTAAATCTTTAAGTCCTTATCTGAAGACACCCTTCTTACTAATGGACCTTAGCCAGTGAAGAATCCGAGACAGAAAGGTCTAGGGTGGGAGACAGTACTCAGGATTAAATGCACTCAGGAAGAACAGGAAATGAGTTTGAAGGATAAGGACAAGCCACCTTTTCAAGGTTTTTTTAGTTAATTAGAACTTCGTCGTAATACAGCAATCTGGAGAAAATAGGAGACTTTGATCATTTTGCCTTTTTGGGAGGTAATTTTAACAGTGGCACAAAGAAAAGGTAATTCAGATAGGAAGTGATGAAGCATTGTGCAGATGTGCTAAGAGCGGGAATGGAGAGTAAGGCCAGACCTGACAAACAGTTCCTGCCCAACAGTTAAAGGGCAGGATGAATGAGAGGCAGGAGTCAACAGACTAGCATGTCCAGCTAGGGAAAACAGGTGCATTGGGAGACCATGGGCTGAGACAATCCGGAGAAAAAGCCAATAGTTCAGTGCGGTGGGCAGTTGGAATAATTTAAAAAGTGCTAGTTCACAATATCCTGTTCTGTGTTTAAGGAAGAACTAGAAGAGGGGAGATGAAAGACCTCGCACACAAAGAAATGATAAGGGGAGGGGAGAACTCCTTCCCCTGATTTGACCTGAGCATACTGTTTACATGTATTGAAATATCATAATATGCCCCATAAATGTGTGTAATTACTAAACATTAACCAAAAATAAAAATGAATGACCGTTTAAAGTTGCCAAGGAAATTGTTCTAATGTTGAAGTCCTTGTGAAGCATTCAAGAAAATGTCTTTCTGGGGAGGTGGGTCTGCTATCCAGAGGCTGCTGCTGTGTATTCGCAAGGTGCCATCCAAATCAACAGCCTGAAGAGTGGGCCAAAAGAAAAGGGAGCTAATATTAGTGAAGATCAAGAGAAGGGGAGTAAAAAGAACCTCCAAAGCCCTACCAAAAGAATCAGGATAGGCTGAGGTTCTCAAAGGAAAAGTGAGTTTTAACAAATAAGAGATAAATTATTGCTGTAGAAAAAAAAATTGATAACGTAATCCAAAAGTAGCACAAAATTTGCAAAGTAGATAGTCCACGTTGTTCAATCAAGGAGCTTTGGTGTTTTGGGGGGGGGAGTTTGACTCTGGTAAGTGAGATCATGAATGAGAGTAGAAATGGAGCAAGTGGTTTCTATTCATTCATTTGCTCCTTTAGTCATTCCAGGTGCATACTGATCACCTACTGCATACCAAGCAGTGTTAATACCTGGAAATACTGCAGTGACCAAAGTAAGCTTCCTTTTTCTTTCTTCCCTTTTGCTGGGAGAGTCCTAAGTTGACCCGTGGGGAGGCAATGTCCTTTCATCCTGAGGCACAAGAAGAAGAAGACAGCCTGAGTAGTGGGTCAGGGTAAAGAGCAGGGTTTTCAAGATGAGGGAAAGCAGCCCATGCACGGCCTAAAGGAAGAAGAGGAGGAAGCAGAGCAGATGAGGTACTTAGGAATCTTCCTAACCTGGAGAAGGGCTCACACCCTCCCAGCCATCTTCTCCACAGGAGCTGGGAACTCACAGCAAGCCCTCCCACAACCGCAGCAGGACCAAGTTGGGAACAGGCTACGAGGATGGCGGCTGCCAGCGCGTGTCCTGGGCTGCCCTATTAACCCCAAGGAAGAGAGTACCTCGTGCCCAGGGAGCACTCACAGTCCTGCTGAGCTCTGGAATTCCAAACCAGGTTCCAGAGCTAAACCTTGTGGGATGTGGGCTCCTCCGTTGTGAGGTCAGGGCCCAGGAATGTGTCTGCTCTTGGAGACAAAGGTCAACGCAGGCAGGACTGGAGACCAGGAAATCCTGAGCTGATCTGAAAGGAGCAGAAAACCCCAGCTCCCATAACCACAGCGCAGGCAGGGCTCTGAGGACTGCCTTCTCCAGGGGCTGCTGTGTGCCTGCTCTCAGCGGTTGAGCGGAGCATGCGCCTAGCCTGCACAGCCACGTGCCACTGTGGGCTCCGGGCTCCTCTGTCCTCTGGTGCGCAGCTGGAGTTCCCTCTCTTGTCTGTGTCTGTGTGCTCCCGACAGACACCTAAAACACACCTTTAATGTGTTTGAAAAAAAAAGATCTTTAAATATGTGTGTATCCTTGTAAATTATGTAGTGCTCTGTTTGTGTTTTTAATTTACATAAATAGTTTTGTGCAATAAATTCCCTGCTGTTTCTTACCTTTTCATCTCAGCATTGTGATTCTAAAATCCACCCATGTTGCTGAATGCACAGTCTGTCACTATAATGCAAATCAGCTCACATGCAAATGGTGCAGGGGGAAATATGTCAGCATAACAAAGAAGTTACATTGCTTCCTAAGCGATTTTCCCAGCCTGCTCCTGTTTATGAGCCTCTAATCACAAAACACACCAATCCAGCACGCAGGAAGCCAGTGAGGACTAGAGAGATGCCCATTCAGCCCGCATCTTCCTTACCATCTTGGCTTGACCACCTACCCTCATGGAAGCATTTATGTGGACTTCTCTCCAATATTTGTGCCTTCATTTCTTATCTCCAAATTTAGCAGGCTAAATATTTCTTATACTCGGTTCCATTTTTCTGCAAGCAAGAATTAAGATCAAATCTTATATGTACTTCAGTACATATATATGTACTTGTCACATGTGTATGTACTTGTACTTGACACATCTGAGTGAGAACATTAATAGCCAGTATGCTGATCGCTACATTTCTCTTGTTTTCTCTGCTGGCAGTCCAAATAATGGCTGACTCCTAAGGGGTGTAGAATAAAGAAGACATAAAACACATAGCCACCCTATAAGAGTGTAAGCCACCGAGTTTTGGATTGTTCATCACTGAGATTAAACTAGCCTAACCTGATAGAGCTATGCCTTTGTAACAGAGGGGAAATAAAGTTAAGTTCTTACTTTTCAATATAAATCAATTAACTGGAAAGTAATTAAGCAAATATTAGGGAAAATGGGATATTTTTAGTGTGTGCACACAGCAAAAGACCTTCTGAATAAACTGTAGTAGTCCCTTCCTTATTCAAAGTTTTGTTTTGCATGGCTTCAGCTCCCTGCAGTCAAATATAGTCCAAAAATATTAGGTAGAAAATTCCAGAAATAAGAATTCCATAAGGTTTATATAGCTTGCTACTCTGAGGGGCATTATGAAATAATGCACTAACCCACTCCCTCCCATCTGAGATAGGCATCATCTCTTTGTCCAGTGTATCCACAGTGTATAGGCTACTCATTAGTCACTGAGCTGTCTGACTTATCAGATCAGCTGCAAAAGTATTACAGTGCTGGTCTTCAAGCAACTTTTATTTTACTTAATAATGGCCAAAAAAAAAAAAAGTGCCTGAGTGATGATTCAGAGGAGGTACGAAGGGCATAAAATATGGAAAGATGGACTCACTCTGGTACTATGTGGTAGAGGCAATATGGAGATAAATACATTAGGTGTGAGGTTTGATACTGTCTTCAGTATCAGATATCTACTGGGGCTTTTGGAACATATCTCCTGTGGATAAGGATGGATGGCTATATAAAATCCAGTTACCACAAAGGGAAAGATTGAAACTTTGAACAATATAAAAAATCAGTATACAATAAACAACACAGAGTTATGCAGACTAGAAAAGAATCCTACAACACACACAAAAAAGCAAATGACTCATAACTATAATATAAATATGGATAATATGGATTTTAATTCAAATTAATGTAAGAAAACAATAAATTAAAAAATTGGGCTAAAGAAATGAGCAAGCAATACAAAAAGAAAAGAAAAACAGCCAGGGAATATGTAAAAATAAGCTCAAACTCTAACAATGCAAGGGAAGCAAGCAGAGCAAATTGTGAGTTGTGCATGTATGGACATAACAGAATGGATCTCATCATTATATAAAACTGTACTGTACCAACTTAAAAAGATAAGAAGAAAAGGTAGAAATAGACATTATTAGGAGTTTTTTTAAAAAACAATCAGGTTACACTTTTTAGACTTTTGATGGCCTGAAACAACCTGGGAAGACACCTATAAAGAAAGGCTTCCAGGGACAGGGGACACTTGGGCTTTAGGATGAAAAGGTCTCACAGCTGTTCTCAACCAAGGCAAATGGCCCAGAGGGGCCTCTGGCAATGAGTGACCAGAGGCATTTTTTTAAGTTTCCCAGAGGAGGCACGCGGTTGGCATCTAGTGAGCAGACAGACACCCCACCAGAGAAGCTCAGCTCCAAAGTCCCAACAGTCCCCCGGCCCAGAGACCCAGTTTGGCAGAAGGAAGGGCCGTGCATCTCTGAAGAAGGCTGGTCTAGCCATGGAGGAGAGCATGGGGGTGTGAACGGGAGACAGTGATCACACCAAGTAGGCTGGAGAGGAGGGCCCGGTGCTCCTGGGGCCGCTGGGCACGCCACGATGCACTCCTAAGAATTTTCAACTCTTTGGGGGCTGAAGCAGAGGGAAATGAGGAGAACAGCGTTAGCGCCGCTTCGGTTGACTTGCATTGCTTCAGACTTATTCCATTTAATTTTATACCCTGTGATTATTTAAAAGGTTTTCATTTTAATCAAGACTATTTATGGCCCTCTAGAAGTCTGTCCTGCATAAAATAATACCACATGCACAAAGTGACGTTTTGAATGTCCAATTTGGTGCTTTGGGGAAAGAAAGAAAAAAAGAAAAGAAAAGTGAGTTTCATAAGATGATTAGTAATACTCCAGCCTTTCTGATAAGCCTCATGAGTGAGGCCTGGCAGGAGCAAAAACTGTCCAAGAGTATAAAACATAAACTTCCAAACGAAGCCCCTGTCACAGAGCATCAAAGCCTACAAGTGATTTCCACCCTGAAGGTGAACCTGAAAATTCCCGGTCCCAAACTGTGGATCAGGAGGGTAGGAAGCCCTGCTCCACAGACCCACACCCACAGGCCTGCCCGCCCAGCAACCTTGCAAAACCCTATTTTAGTCCAGGGCCTGCTGGGCTAACTGTGGAAAGGAAATGAACATGACTTTGTCTGTCAAACATCTCTGCAGACCTGCCAGACTTGGCTGATTTGGTCATGAGAAAGGCATGTTCTGACCATGTTCACTTTTTAAAAAATGATTTAACTTGGGTTGTCCACACAGAGAGGATCAGACACAATGGCCCATATTTCACAAGGGTCATCCTAGAGTGTACTCTCAGTCTCCCAAGATTTCAGTCCCCAATTATCAAGCTCACTGGGGAGACTGTCCAAAAAACCCTCTTTGATTTACCAGAGTAAGCCTGGACTTTGACACCAACAAATTTCAAAGCCTGGGCTGACCTGGCGGATACTCGAAGCAAATGCATCTCAGTACTCCAGTGGGACTATCTGGAACATCTTCAGTAAAGAGAGAAGGTAGGGAGAGACATTCATCTCCCTTAGCCGGGCAGCTACAAATGTGTGATTGTTAGCTCAGCTGAGTTGAGCATTGTGTTAATGAGAGCAGGCGGATTCCTCCGTGGCCAGCTTAATTCTCTTCTGTTCCACAGCCACAGGATCCACGTGAGTAAAATTCGTTGGGCTCAAACAATCACCGTTGAAAAAGAGCACTTGTGAAAATGGGCAGCTGAATAAAAATCACACACCCAACTCATATGCTGCCACTGGAACATGTAACATTTGACTTAATTTTTGTTTGTTTGTTTGTTTATTTTTTGCTGATCTGCTTTTTGTTTCTTCATAGAAATAGCCTGGAATAGCTAGGAAGTGGAGGAATTCTAAGCGCTGTACTCTATATGCCACATCCGTTTATTCTCTCCTTGATGATGAGATGGTTAATGGGGACCTACAATTCATGCGGGGTTGCCCTTACCAAAACTGATTCTGTAGCATTCTTTCTTTTTTTTTTTTTTAAAGAGAGAGGAGAGAGAGAGAGAGAGAGAGAGAATTTTCAATATTTATTTTCTAGTTCTTGGCGGACACAACATCTTTGTTGGTATGTGGTGCTGAGGATTGAACCCGGGCCACATGCATGCCAGGCGAGCGCGCTACCGCTTGAGCCACATCCCCAGCCCTGTAGCATTCTAATACCTTGCTTCTCAAAGTGTGTCCACAAGCCAGTATCACTTGGGAACTTGTTAGAAATGCAGGATCTTGGGTTCCATGCCAGACAAATTCATTCAAAAATCTGCACGTTGACAAGATGCCCAGATGGCCTAGGAACAGAATAGTTTGAGAAGCTCTGCTCTAAGAGAGAGCAGGAAAGCCTGAGACCCATTTTACATCCAGGGTCACCAGTGCTCAGTAGCCATTCCTCAATATGCCGGTCACCTGCTTTGCATGGCTGACAACGCCAGGTGCTGCTGCATGGTAGACCTGTTTGATGAGCATCCTCTGCAGAGCTTATGGGCATTTCAGTGAGGTCACTGTTGGGAAGACATCTCAACCAGCATGAGAGTAGCCAACAAAAGCTTCCAGTTCAGCACATCCCTTCACCTATGAGTGAAAATCGAAGGACACAACTGAACACAAATAGAACCCATGCCACTTCCATTGGCTGAGCAGGTGAACTTCAATGACTTGCCTGTGGTATCATTGAATGTGCTTGCAGCATGCAACAGTGTTGTTCTACTCTGTCGCACTGTGGAGTGAACAGTGGACAGCACCATTGTTTGAATGCAAATGTTAGCTAATAAAGATGGTCAACATTGGAAAAATTGTAATTTTCATAGTTTCATGTATAAAAGGTAGTGTTGTACACAGTGATCGTTTTTTCAAAAGTCTAAGAACAGTGATTTCATATTCATGAATACCTTGTAAATAAACTATGATTTAAAGAACCAGTATAAAATAAGGTACCATTTTAATCTGTGACCCAAGAATAAAAAAAACTCTTAAGATGGAGTAGAGGTCTTAGGGCAATGTATGAGGAAAGCTGAACGTGGAAATCAGTTCCTAGAGCTCGGTGCCTTTCCTCAATGTCTAATGAAGTACACACATAGGCAGAATACCCCTCTGTTCATTTGACACATACCTTTCTG